TAACTAAGAAATAGCATAAAACATAAATCTACCTAGAAATATAAACGACACAAAAATAAAAAGGCTAGGGAATCAGGAATAAACGTTTTGAATCGAAATGCAATTATCGACTCATGATCGTTCGGTTAAATAAATCGAGTCACCTACACGTTTAGAGGTTCATCCTCAATACCTTTCGGATTATGAGAATAAATATAAACGGGTAAATTAACGAATTGTTTAACACGTAGACAATACGTCTCCGAACATGTCTATTTTGTATGAGTTTCGATCGATTGACCTTTCCCCTTTTGGTTCAAGAGTCGATTAAAATAGACTATATGATTGTTAGTCATCTAGTCTATTCGGATCGTGATCGTCACAATAGAACACACCATATTCAATTTGAAAACAAGTTTAACATTGAAGTGTCACTCTTCAATACTTAGAAATCAATTGCAAGGTTGATTTGTCACTTTTCAACAATAAGTCATTCCAAAGTTTTATCAAAAACTGAATTTAAACTAACTCATACAAAGTGAACAATCAAGGAGCACGATAATCACATATGAGTTCAAAGGTTCATCTCTTATCCCTAATAATTTAATTCATATTTCTCCTAATTTAACTATTTTCATGAATTAAAAGAGAAGAAAATACTTACCAAAATCCCAATGCATGTAGCTCCGAAACAAGTTTTATTATCGAAAAACCAAAGTAAAATATTTACAATAACATGAAAACAAACATTATTACATCTTACTTAAGCTCATGCATTAAGATGCATGAAAATGCTAAGGAAGAACATGAAAGAAAGTAAAAATGGTGTTTGGAGAATAAATCCTCCTCCTTTCTTTACATGAAAATCACACCTATTTATAGGTGAAGATTTAAGCTTGAAAATGTCTGAAAATTGGAATTTGGTATGTGTTTAACATCATGACAAAGCATGGCACTATAAAACATTAACATTCCAACCAACAAGCTTAGAAAAAAACTGCACAGCTGCAGAAATGGGCCCTTAGCGCCGCTACTTGGGTAGTAGCGCCGCTACTGTGTCGGTAGCTTGCATGTCATCACGGTTTTTGCTCATTCGGGCTCATTTGGACTCGAAATTGAGTTCCGTTTTTTTCTACGCGTAGATAACGAACCCCTCTATCAAATAGTACAAGATTTCCCACAATTTTACCAAAAACCTGTTCTCCGAAGATCACCAATCTCGTCAGTTGCTGCACATTTTTTTCCGTTTTTTCTCGTTCTTGCTCGTTTGAACTCGTTTTAACTCGAAATTGAGTTCTGTTTTCTCCTATGCGTCGCTAACGAGCTCCTCTATCACTTTATGCAAGCTTTCCAATAATTTTCTCAAAAACCTGTTCTCCCGAGATTTTCAACCTACACACCAAAAACTAAAATACAACAAAAACTACCGAAAAATAAACATAATTCACATAAATATTTAAAATAATGAAAAACACATAAATAACTATAAGACCACTCTAAAACTAACTAAATGAATCAAAATAAGGATAAAAACATATTAAAATAACAATGAAAAATGTAACAAAATAGTACAAACAACTCCCCCACACTTAACTATTTGCTTGTCCTCAAGCAAACAAATAACAAGTGATTCGAAAAGAGAGATCGAACGGTCCAATATTAACAAACATACATTATGTAACTCTCTTTATCATTCGGTTATTTACAAAATAAAACTCAAATATGAAAACACAGTTCTCACATATAAATTTAACAAAACAAAAACTCAACCTATGTCATTCCATCATGATTTACTCAATGCAAACTTCCTTTTACAATAATCACGTGCAAAAAATTCAAAACGATCTACTCAACGTATAAAAATATAAAACAAGACCGTAAACTAAACACCATTAATATTCTTTATTTTTTTATTTTTATTTCTTATATGAGTCACTTTTTCCAAATGGAAATTGTCGGGACAATTATTACTGTAACACCCCACTTTGATTTTAAGGGAATTTCAGACTTTCCAAAAATCAGTACAAAATTTTCGAGATTGTTTCCAAAATTTAATGGGTGTTAAACAACATTTTTCATAATCCAAGTCTTATCTGGGCCCACGGGGAAATTACCCAATTTTCGCAAATGGTTTTCATTAACCAAAACATAACACGAGTCAAGATTCTCAAACTTGAATATTTAAACCAAACCATCATACCCAACATCAGGGTTCGACAAGTTTTCCCAAAAAACAAACAAGTCATAAGTTTGGAAAAAGGCTTAAACAAGTCTCCACATAAACGTCCATAAAAGCCTTATTATTCTACGGAACCATAAAATTCATAATGAAAAGACCGACCCACTCGCCTCTTCTCGTCACCCTGCTCCTGCTTAACCTGCATCGGTGAAGAGCAGGTGGGGATGAGCACAAGATGAAAAGCGTGCTCACCACTATGCACATATATCACAACATCAATAATGAAGAGAAGGTATGGTTACAGTATGAACATAAAACAATTATTCTGTCACATCTCCTAATCACATCACAACATATTACCCACGTGTACAAATCTTTCATTAGCCAAAGAAAGGGGATTCATTACCCTAACTCATGGGGGTACGTACCATACAACAAGGCACGGCCTTTCATTAGGTCTTACGGAGACTTACCTCGCAAGGTAACCGTATTACATCGACGGGAAAAACCGTACTGACAGCTCGACTCACGCCGATAGGCTACATGGTTTACGTACATACTAAAATCATACCAAATCAACATTATAATAGACACATACGGCATAGCAAATTTTAGATTAAAACCCACCTGGTATAC